TAGCGAATAAAATTTTTTTTATTAGTACCAATGTTTACATCGACCAAATAAAATATTAAATAATTTTTAAAATATGTTTCACTTAAAAATCCTAAATGTTAAAAAATTTATACCTAATTATAAATAATATAAATTGTAGAACAATTTATCTAGCTTTCGTAATATAGTTATAAAATCCAAAAATCTTAAAATGATGAAAGAAGGAAAGAGGAAAAGGCTTAGAAGTGTTCCAAACAGCAAAAAAATTATATATGTAAAACAAACAATTTATTTATATGTTACTTATTATTTGCATTATTATATGAAAAAAAAATATACTCGTTATATGTATGAAAGACACACGAATTCGAGTCAGGTAAATATTTTCATTTTTTGCACGCGCGATAACTGAAGAAAAATAAAATAAATTATTGTGCGTGTGTGTAATTAACGCAACTTATATAAGTCTGTGATAACAATTAATCTTTTTAATATTCGGAACTGAAACATGAGAGCGATCGTCATGAGAGCTCTCATAATACAATGTAAATACAGCGCAAAAGAATAGACAGACATCATAGAAAATAAACTGTAATGAAATCTGATAAATATTGACCTAAAATATCTTTTTCAAAAGATTTGAGAGAAAAAATTATATTCATTTATTTATAATTATAATAGATATGTATCAATATATAATAATCTGATAATTTTATTTATAATATAGAATTTAATAAACAAATTGTCTGTCGCCTATTATTCTCAATAAGATATATTACCTTCGAAAATAGAAGTTATTTCTTAAAACGTGCACTTAAAAAGCTGTTTTATAATACCTATATAAAAATCATTGTTTCGAAAATTATATTACTTACTATTTACAGATATTTGTAGATTATATATATATATACATATATATATATTTAATACAAAAGATATTTACATATATTTAACAAATATAAGTTAATAAATATATACATATCTTCTCTTAAAGAGAGACTTTAGTATTATGATCCTTATTCACAAAAAAGATATGTATTTAATTCGCAACAATTTAACACTTTTATAATTATATTAATATTCTTTCTTCGTACATTTTAATAAATTAGTAATGCAAGCAAATGCGAACCTTTTAATGGTTTTTATTTTACTTTTTTTGAACAAAGGAATTGGCAATAATTCTATATTTACATTATAAGAACAACAGCATTTAAATAAACGTAAATGTATTCAAAACATAGATTCTGCAGAACGAGTACAATTTGTAGGATTGGAGGAACTACGCGCTAATTTTTTGCGAGACAGCCTTTTAAGTAGAGTTATTATCTCTATAAAGTCAAGACGTCTCTTTGCATGGTATGACCAGCAATACATTAGAACATCCTATAAAAAATTTATAAGATTTCTGTAATTTATAAATAATGTATAGACTAGTATATAAAATTTATAAACAAATTATATATATAGAACGTATAAATATGCACAAATATGGTCTTTTATATGTACCTTTACATCACGGGAAGCTTGCAAATATGATAAAGATTGTTTCATTCCTTTTCCGACTTGCCAAATAATAGCTTCAGTAGGTTGACCTCTAAAAGGCCATTCACCACACAATAATTCATACCAAATAGTCCTATCAAAACGTATATTTTTAAAATTTCTTATTATTTGTTATATTTAATGCACACACACACACACACACGCGCGCGCACACATATATTGGATATTTGAATAAGTTTCCGCCGTTTTTTTATGAAATTTTGCTTTTAAACGTTTGTTAATGTTAAATGTTGATCAACATTTAATGCTTCTAACAATTCTTTCAGCGTTTGACATGGATTTTCATCAAGTAATGCTTCCAGTTGTTCATCTTTTAATTTTTCGGTGCAAATTCACATTCTTTATCTTTTATCGAAATCATCACTTCTAAAGCATTGCACGTTGAAATCATTCTTTCGAATAGAGCATACTCCCCATATATCTTCACAAGCAAACGATAACTTTTAGCTGCACTTTTTTTTACAATAAACAATGCAGTAAAACTTCCAGCAAATGGTGCTTTTGTTGGCCTAAAAGTCGACGTTTTCAATGCAATGATAAAAATGTTGTTTACACGTTCATCAAATGTCACACATTAAATATGAAAGCCCTGTATATAATACAATTCAAATACAATAATTGCCACTGGAATTCTATTGTATGTAATACTCGTGACGTCTCTTAGAAAATGGCGGAAACTTATTCCTCTATACACACACACACACACACACGCACGCACGCACGCACGCACGCACGCACGCACACGCACACGCACACGCACACAGGGTGAAGCTAATAAAAAACTACTTTATTATAGTGTTTTGAAAATGTTTCGACATTAGTTACAAAAATATGTAATAAAAAATAGTGGTTCCTGTTTAAAAAATTTATATTAACCTTGATTTGACTCTAGTAATGCCTCATATATAAAACTGTTACTTCCACCTTCTTTCCTCCAAGAAAATCTACAAATCTCTTTTATATAAGACTTTCTCCTCTCTTAGTTTCTGAGATATCCGCCTAAGGTGATTAAAATGCCTTACCCTATATATATATATATATATACAAGATGTCCCAAAACTAACGATAAATATTTTAAAGCCAGATTCTTTATAACATTTTAAGACAAAAAGTATAATACGAAAATGTGGAGGCTATGATAGCTTTCGATACTAATGATAGTTTTCAAATGGACAGAGTTTTAAAATTACAAATGACGAGGCTAGAATTTTTTCATCAAAATATTTAAATTCTTATAAATTATGAGAAAATCACAAACATTCTCGAATTTATGAATGTGATGTAGTGTATATAATAAAAAATAAATATGATTTGTGTTAAAGAATTTTTGCTGTTAATTAGTGATGACACATCAATTATATATGCATCTTTTTAAAAGCGTCATCACTACAAGAAATAGTGCAGTCTAACACAAACCAATATTTTATTATTTTTTATTAAATATTATTTATATTA